ATATTTTATTAACCTTATGCTTTCTATTAAAAATTATTTAACTTTTTATTATAACTTTAATTTTTTCTTCTGTTCATTCTTTAAGCAACTTTTAAAAGTTATTAATAAAAACGTGTATGAAATGTCATTGAGAAAAAGTATTAAATTTGATTAAAAAAATGTTATCTCTAACTTCAATAAAGTACCTAGAATATAGAAACTTAAAAGTGTTTATTTTTTATTAGATGCCTTAGGACTACAGGGATATAAGTGTTTTACAAAAACAATAAAAGAGGAGTAATTTGATGGTTTATTTACTCTTTATAACCTTTAGAAAGTATCATGCCTTTTTTAAAGTGTTTGCTTCAGGCTGTAGTTTTACAAGATAGGCTATGTACTGGTCAGGCCTCCTCAATTCTTGACCCTGAACAGATTTAGGTACGTACACCAGGCACATGTCCAAGCAGCCAAAATTGTAATTGGGTATTTGTACATTCCTTTTCAAACTCGTAATCTACCTCCTACGAAATTGCTCAACTCAGTTTCTCATGTTGTCTAAGAAAATACTAATCACTCTTCCAGATAGTTTCTTGGTCTGATTAGCTTAAAAGTATTAAAGATATTTGTAACATTCATGGGCTAGCCTAAAAGTTTATATTTAAACAAACCTCTTTCTCAGTAGTATTTAAACTACCATTTTCACATTGGTCAACTTATTCTATTACAAAGATTTCCGATATAGAAAAATATCTATTAATATTAGAACATTCATAGCAATTCTTAAATTCTTTTGCTTTTCATTCAACAAATATTTCTAGTTTTTATTTTGAGATGGTCTACCAAATAACCAGATTGTGCTTGCATATTTAACATAGGTAAAATGATTTTGAATGATTTCCTAAATATGGGGAGATATAAAGATTAACTTATAAAGTTTTTGAAGGAAAGGAATATATCATAACAATCCATACTGTTCTGCAGCATCTACAATCTCTTCAAGGTAATGTAATGCAGTGTTTCAGAGATTCTAGAGACAGATGGTCTGAGTTCGAATACTGGCTCTGCCGTTTACCTCCTTTGTGACTTTAGGCAAGTTATTTACCCTCTTGCTATCTGTTTCCTTATGTATAAAATGGCAATAGTAAGACAGCCTATCTCATTATGTCCAGGATTGAATTAATCAATAAATAAAAAGTACTTAAAGCAATATCTAGATCGTGGTAAGACCTAAGAACCCACTCTAACCACTGAAAGAGAAGTAGTTAAAAGAGAACCAGATCTACATGATGAAAACAGCATCTTGTACATTTTCTGTTCAACTGCTTTGAGAAGAGATGCATGTTTTATGTACACTCCTTCCCAGAACAAATTTATATATATACACTTATTTCCTCTTTCAATGTTTTGACTACAGAAAGGCATTCCTGTAAGATATTGTAAACTCTCCTCACTTACGTATCTTGTAGTATATACTGTTGGTATGAATTTCCTCCCTTCCATGTTGGAAAAACCCGAATTGTGTCAGAGGTCCCACCTCTCATGAATGTGAGTCAGATAAGTCCTTACTGGTATTAATCACCCATAAAGATCTAATGTACTCCCCCAGCCAATGACTAGCTTAGGAGAGGGTATGCAACCCAATCATGGCTGATGAGATATTAGGGAATGTGTATTGGGAAGCTTCTGAGAAGGGTTTTGTTAACCTTTTATTAAGGAAAAACACTCTTTAGGGCCAGGCACGGTGGCTCACCCCTGTAATCCCAGCACTTTGGGAGGCTGAGGTGGGTGGATCATGAGGTCAGGAGATCGAGACCATCCTGGCTAACACAGTGAAACCCCATCTCTACTAAAAATACAAAAATTAGCTGGATGTGGTGGCGCATGCCTGGCAGCTATTCGGGAGGCTGAGGCAGAAGAATCACTTGAACCTGAGAGGCAGAGGTTGCAGTAAACCAAGATCACACCACTGCACTCCAGCCTGGGTCTAGGTGACAGAGCAAGACTCTGTCTCAAAAAATAAAAAATAAAATAAATATCATTACATAGAGTTTACTATTTCTTTACAGTTTTTTCTCTTACATTAATGTTTATATACAATGAAATGTACACATCTTAGCTGTACATTCAGTGAGTTTTTACAGATGGATACACCTGTATAATTGAAAACCTTCCCAAGATGTAAAATATTTTCATGAACCCAGAAAGCTCCCTCATGCCTCTTTCCAGGCAAATTCTATTCTTAAAGCCCACCCCAAGAGATAATTACTATCTTGACTTTTTACCATACTCAATTAGTTTTATTCCACCATTTCATTTGAATGGAATCATCATTGTGTATTCTTTTGGGTAAGGGTGCTTTCACTCACCAGATTTTTAATTTATGTTGTATATATTAGCATGCAGATCCTATAAATGCTTTTTAAAGTGTATACTTATATAATTCATTTTCTCTGATGTGATGATAAATTGTTTTTAATTTTGGTTTCTTCATATTCGTTGTTAAAATATAGAAATGTGACTTTTTTGTGTGTGTTAATCTTGTATCCTGTGACCTTGTTAAATTCACTTATTAGTTTTGGGAGTATTTTTTTTTTTTTAAGTTCCTTAGTATTTTCTACGCATACGATCATATCATCTGTAAATAGAGGCAGTTTTATTTTTACCTTTCCAATCTGTTTATTTGTTTATGCCTTATTGCAGTGGCTAAAAATTTCAGTATTATGTTTAATAAAAGCAGTGAGAATAGACATCCCTGCATTGTTTCTGATCTTAAAGTGAAAGCATTCAGTCTTTCACCATTAAATATGATGCTAAATGTAGGGTTTTTGTAAATGTTCTTTACAACTAGCAAGGGTAATATCTTTTATTCCTAACTTATTAAGAGTTTTTGTCAAGAATGGATGTTGAATTTTGTTAAGTGCTTTTTCTGTGTCAATTGATATGATCATATGATTAGCATATTGATGTAATAAATTATACTGATTGATTTTCAACTGTTGAACCAGCTTTGCATACCTCTAATAAATTCCACTTTGTCATGGTATATATTTTTGAAATTGTATTGTTGGATTCTGTTTGCTAATATGTTACTAAGAATTTTTGCATCAAAATTTGTGAGAAATATTGATCAGAGTATTCCCTTTGTGCTGTCTTTGGTATTGGAATTATGGTAAATAGGTCTGATAAAATCAGTGAGTATGTGTTTCCTCCTCCTCTATTTTTCTGGAAGAGACTGCGTAAAAGTGTGTTAATTCTTTAAATATTTGGTAGTTTTTGCCAGTGAAACATCTGGGCCTAAAGATTTCTTTTTGGGTTAATAGTTATAGGGCTGTTTAGATTGTATTATCTTGGTTGAGTTTTGGTAGTTTGTGGCTTTCAAGACGTTGGCCAGTTTCTCTAAGTTGTCAAATTTATGACTGTAAAGTTTTTTTGTAGCATTCACTTATTATCTTTTTAATAGGTGTGTTTTTGTACATGGTTTCTTTTAGCTCTTTGAGCATATTTAAAATAGTTTGATTAAAAGTTTAATTTCTGGGCTTCCTAAAGTATAATTTCCATTAATTTTTTCCTCCATATAATGGGCTACACTTTGCTCTTTCTTTGCATGCCTTGTAACTTTTTGTTGAAAACATTTTGGATATATGGCAGCTCTGGAAATCAGACTCTTCTCACTTTCTATGGTTCCTGCTTCTTGTTGTCTTTGTTTAGTGGGTCTTTGAACTAATTTGTAAAGTCTGTTGTTTTTGTTGTATGTGGCTACTGACTTTGCTTTATATTAGTGGCCAGCTAGTGATCGCAGAGATTTCTTTAAATACCAAAGGAACCAAAGGAAAGAAAATCTTCTAGTCTTTCTAAAAGGGATCTGTGTATGTTTGTTGGGGCACACCTTCAATACTGACACCAGGCAGTTTTCAACTCTGCATGTTAAAGTTTTCAGCAGATGCTTCAGATTTCTCTAGCGATATCTTATGTTTATGATGTGGGCTAATTCAGGAGTATTACATTATTTTAAACAAAACCAGAGAATATTTCTAAATGACTACTTCCTGCTTGGCATCGGGTTCCCCACTTGACTTTGGGTCTTCTCTTTGTCCTGCTTCCCAGAGAAAGTCTGTCTTTGCAGCTCTCCTTGTTATATCTCCTTGTTCTTTTTACTTGTTGCTTATTGTTATGGTAGTGGTGGAAGATAGGGAAGGAAGGGCATTCTCTGATACTCTCATTAAACCTTAGTCTTAGGCAAACCTGAGTCTCAGGAAGAAATCTTCATGAGTGTTCTGGTCCCTCCTTCGTATGTAATGCTGGGTCTAGCATGTGTTACTGCCCCTCCCACAATGAAAGAACTACTGTTTTGTTTTCCCAGTCCTCCTCTTTCCAGCTGCTGCTTAGGGGAGATAAGGAAGATAGGTCTGTCTAGGTAGAATTTTCTGTTATGATTTTTGGTCCCCTTGCCCAGCTGCAGAGGGTTTCCACTAGTGCCTTTAACTGTAGTTTCTGTTGCCCTCCCTCTTGCAGATTAGGGTTTTGATCTGTAGAGAAAACAGGGAAGATGGCTTGTGACTGCTCTTCTCCTACATAGTAAGTGCTGCAGGGGAAAGCTTTCATAGGATTTTTCTCCAAGTACCTGGTGGGTTTCCTAGAAGAAAAGCCTGCTGGAGAGTATAAATCTCCCTATTTCAGGGGCCCCCAGGGGATTCATATTTTTACAGTGGCCACATTCTACCTTTAGCAATTAAGGACTTTTCACTGAAGCTTCTTTCCAGCCCTCAGTAGCTTATGTCCCAGGTAAGCAAATGTCAGGGTTCTGTTTCTCTAGGTACCTGTCTTTATCCAGATTTTGGGTACTTGATTGATCTGGGACCTCAGTTCTATGATGGACTGTCTATTTAATTTGAAGTTGGTCCAGATTTTTTTCTTGTTGTAAAGATGGGAGTATGCTATTTCTGCATCTCTCCAGAAAGAGCTGAAACTGGAAGTTTTAAGGCTTTATTTTTATAGGACTTTTCTTTTTCTTTTTGTCTTAGGAAGCAGAAATTCAATATGAAGAGCAGATTGGTAAAATTATTGTGGAGACACAGGAACTTAAATGGCAAAATGTGAGTGATAACAGGCTTTGTGCCTCCAGCCAAATCTCGTCTTGAATTATAATCCCCATAACCTCCATAACCCCCACGTGTCAAGGGAGAGACCAGGTGGAGGTAATTGAATCATTTCGGTGGTTTCCCCTTGCTGTTCTCCTGATAGTTCTCATGAGATCTAATGGTTTTATAAGGGGCTCTTCTCTCTTTGCTCAACACTTCTCCTTTTTGCTTCCTTGTAAAGAAGATGCCTTTCTTCCCCTTCGCCTTCCATCATGATTTTAAGTTTCATGAGGCCTCCACAGCCGTGCTGAACTGTGAGTCAATTAAACCTCTTTCCTTTATAAATTACCCAGGCTTGAGCAGTTTTTTATAGCAGTATGAAAGCTAATACAACGAGTATTTTGTTTCTCTCAAATTATTATTTATAGCATCTATTTTGAAATGTATTCTAATCCTTATTACCAAGTTACTTTTTAAGTTTTCTAACATATTTAGGGGTTAGTGCATTATTTTAAACAAAATCTCAAGAAAATCCCAACTAAAACTGTTGGTAACATTTAGGTTTCCAGAAAACTGAGAATAAAAATTTTGTTCAGGCTTTTTAATACAGCACTGTGAATAATTCTGAAAACTACCATACTGTGAATTATTTTACATCTGAGAAACACACTATGTGTTGTAGGGGAGTGAGAATATTTTGAAAGGAATGAAACCTCATAGCTAGTATGTTTATTTTCCCAGGGTGTTGTTACATAATGTAACCAAATGTTAAAAAATAGTATCAACTCTTATTTTCTCCATAGCTTTATCTGTATTGCAGCACTTGTTGTAGTGCTTCTCATGCTGTTCCATTAAAGTAATCTAAACAGCTAAAAACTGAAAGTGTAATTATGCTGATTTCCGTTCTCATTATTTGGTAATATTGAAACAGGAATTGGGGGTAACATCAGAAATCAGAAGTCAGGTGGTAGTGCATAGACCAAACTAGAAATAATTGGAATTTCGAGGCTAGACATATCCAAAGGTGTGCAGATTATGGGAGTAAAATCAAGGTTGAATTATATGAAGGACAAGTCTGAAACAAATCTATCTGTTGGGGGAAATAATAGGTAAACATTAAGTACAACTAATGTTCAAATGGATTTTAAAATGTAAAGTTATATCTTGTTTTTGCATAGAGCTAACAGCATAAAGTTATCACAATCCCAAAGTTAATTGGTAAGTTTAATGAACCGAATTTAATGACCAGCTGCAGTGACTCACGCCTGTAATCCCAGTGCTTTGGTAAGCCAAGGCAGGAAGGTTACCTGAGGCCAGGAGTTCAAGACCAGTCTGGACAATATAGTGAGACCTTGTTTCTATTTTAAAAAACACATGTATTAGCAGGATGTGGTGGTGTGCGCCTGTAGTCCTAGCTCTTCGGGAGGCTGATGTGGGAGGATCACTTGAGCCCAGGAGTTTGGGACTGTACTGAGCTATGTTTGTGCCATTGCACTCCAACCTGGGTGCAGAGTGAGACCCTGTCTCTAAAAATAAATAAATCCAATTTAAAATGTCAAGAACATATTTAGGGTAGTTAAGCTTATTCTGAGGTTTATGTGGAAATAAACATACAAGAGTGGCTGGGAAATTTTTTAAAAAGAAGAGAATGAAATGGTCATACTTGATTCTTAAACATAATTTAAAGTTGTCATAATTAAAATAGCTTGGTGCAGTGTACATAGTTATTTAGTAGAACACAACAGTCTAGAAATAGATTGAAATACATAAGATAATTTAGTGAATGTTAATGGTGGCTTTGAAATCAATGGGGAGTAGCAGATTATTCAATAAATGGCATTAGAGCTGGATTCCATCTGAAAAAAAAAAAGCCAGATTCCTGTATTTACCAACTTTGAGCAAAACAAGAATTTTCATATGTTGTTAGCAGTGTAAATTAGAATTGCCTCATTGCATTCCCTCAAATATCACCAAACAACTTGTTAATAAAGCAGGTGTGTTTATTGAAACTCATTGCAATAATTGAAAACACTACTTCTACAGAGTCTTAGTATTTCAAAAGATGCAAATCAGCATTGGACCATGCAGAGGGTTATAGGGCCTAGGTACAAGTGATTTTAGGCAAATCTTTTAAGGCAGAATGTTGATGGGGACTGGGCAAATTTTGTAGTATAGTATTTTAGGATTGTGAATGTAGCAACATGAGGTTCTTGAAATTACTCTTAGGAGTAAAATTGTTTGATAAACCAGATGTTTACCCAAATAAACTATTGTCTCAGATAAGTTCTTTTGCAGCAGTTACCTGAAACAAACAGTGATATAATTTATTGGTTTTTATAGTTTTATATTTACTGGGCAAAGGTTTACTGGAACAAAAACTAAGTTGTGTTGACACAGGTATTCTCAGTTCTTACTCCGAATAGCTCTGTTATATTGATGCAGGCGGTTTCAGTTCTCAGTCCCCTTTTGCTTCTTCAACCTGCGCTGGAGAATAAAATAAACCATTATTATTTAGTATGTGATCAATCAAGATTTATGCTTCTTGATGAAGGGTCATGATGACATGTAAGGAGGTTTCTGGTGATGTGTGCATATGTATATATCAGTTTTTCCTTTTTTTTTGTTGGATCATACTTTGTTGGCTATGCAACAGTATTTAAGACTTCAGAAGTCACACTTCTGAACACACCAACATCGAAAAACACTAAGGAAAAGTTTATTATCAGAACTTATAGATCACTTTTAAGCCAGCAGCCAGGAATACCTGTATCAAACCAAGAGAATAGAGGCCATCCCCAAATAACAAAAAAATTTCCGTTAGTAATTGGACTCAAACCGTAGAGTGGCCAAGAATGTAGAGAGCAATATTAAAGATAGGGACCTTTGAAACCATCATGGTTAATAAATAGTATGTTTTACTCAAGGAGCTGGATTAAGAAAGAGGGAAGAAAATATCTAGGAAAATAAAGAACAAAAGCCTTCAAATAGAGGCATTGCAGTCTTTGGCTCTGATTATCTAAATAGGGTGTTAGTAAGTTTTTTTACATAAACAGCCATATAGTAAATATTTCAGGCTTTGTGGACAGTATGGTCTCTGTCACAGCCACTCAACTCTGTTGTTACAGTGTAAAAGCAGCTATGGACAGTACTTACATGAATCAGTGCGGCTATGTTCCTATAAAACTTTATGGACACTAAAATTTATATTTGGTACAATATTCAGGTGATTGGAAATGTTATTCTTTTTTTATTTTTCTTTTTAACCCATTAAAAATATAAAAACCATTTTTGGCTCACAGGCCAGATAAAAACAGACTCTGTAGGTCTTGGATAGAGGCTGTCTTGATTCATACCTCTTGAGAGGTAGCTGTTTCTTTCTGAAGATGTCTGCTTCTGAAGTTTTCTCAAGACTTTTTAGGTTTAAATTTCTTGATGGAATGGCATTCCATGTATTAGTGAAACCTAGTATCTGTTCATCTGGGAGACATTAATTCAAAGATCTATGCCCAGGGGTTTAGCTACTGTGCTAGCAGTCAACGTTCTTGGTAGGATTATTTCCAACATGGTTTCAAGGTGTTTGTTTTTTCTCTATGAGGTCATTTGCAGAAGACACTATCTCTGAACTTTCGGTCGTGTAGAAGAAAAGCCACTTTTATCTGTTTATGATGAGACTCTGAAACATATTACATGAATCCCTTGGAGTACTTTACCACATTTGTCTGAAGTAAGGTAATGCCTAAAACCAGGGGAGAAGTAGCCAACTTCATAGGGCAAACTCTTAACAAGTTTATATGGTAAAAGTCAATGAATGTAGGGGAGTGTGGACTTCATGGTGTTATGAGTTAGAGGTAACTTTCTTGGTCATGGACGTTTAAGAGTTTCAGATACAATGTGCTATTATTACTTCTGTCTACTTTTCCTCAAGTTTGAGGATGGTGGAGGCAGTGAATTTCTGAATAAATGACAATGGTTTTGCAAAGTTCTTTAATGATAGTCCCAATAAAATAAGTAACCCTGTCCTTTCAGATCCTCAGGTTGGAAACAGAAAATCAAGTAATTTTCTTTTTCTACTCAGAACTGTAGCTCTCTGGCAAGAAGTTTTAGTTCATCCTGAAAAGATGGAAACAATGATGAACATATTCAAAACCCACTCTAGGGGTTAATTTTAGGAAATCCATTTGAAAGTGTTAATAGGGACCCTAACGTTTGGATTTACAAGGATAACAGTTTTACCAGGACAGTGCTAATGACAGCTGTACACCAGAGACATCCTCAGTATATTAGTAAAATTTCACCACCAATGCTAATTGAGTATAATGTTCAATATATCTTTGCTCTGATGGGTAATTTCCTATAAAATCTTTACAAAGTTCCATTGAGGTCCTCTGGTGCCACCAAGTGTCTGTCCTGAAAGTGATTTTCTTTTTGTAATTTATTATCACATTTTTTTATTCAGACTCTGGAGCCAGTTGTAGGCATTCCAAAATAGCCTTTTAAAATGTCTTCAAAGATTTGGCTTTTTGGATATCATGGGGGCCAGGACTGTATGTCATAAAAATTAGCGAGGATATTTCCTCTAGCCTTAATATTATCCCTTTTAGTGTCCTTATGATAACCATCCCCTAAGGAAGCATTACAACACTTAAAATTGTTGACTACTTGAAATTGGGATTCCTACTGAGATCAGAAACCCTAATAATTTTTACGGTATCCTAAAATCATGGACTACACCAAAGGCATAGCTGCTACTAATATTAACTCTCTAATGTCTTGACATTTGGCAAGCTTTACTGAGTAGAGTAAGTTCTGTCATCTGGGCTGATTTAACCTCTGGTAAGGAGTCATGATTTAGGGGTCAGTTGAGACTGTTGCAGTGTATCCTGCCTGATATTTTTCCCATTTCAGTTTCAACAATGACCTATCAACAAACAAGATTACAAGTAGATTTAATCTGGGGGCAGTTTCTAATAAATCCATTTGAAGCATAGTTATTGCTCAGACAGAGACTAAATTGT